CAGAAGGCAATTAAGACCCAGCAGACTCAGAAAGAGCTTTGTGCCTCTCCATGAACTACCTGAAAAAATTAGGGAGAACCTGTGCCAGGAAGGGAACTAACACCAGAGATCACTTATTACATCAGAAAGGCTTATCTGCATGGCAGGGGAAACTTCACTTTACCAAACAGCTGCTCTTGTACTCCTCCTGTGAGTTATCTTCCTCTCCTTTGAAGCCCCAGACCCCTATACCTTTCTCCCTGGCCCAGTATATTATGTCAATGAAGGTCTCCAGTGCCTGACCACCTGAGTCTCGTACTTTCATGGGGCTTCCATAGGTAGGAAATTTGTTTTTCTCCTATGATTCCATCTTATGTCAATTTAATTATTAAGCCAACCTAAGAACCTAGAGGGGATAAGGGAAAAGCTATAAATTGTAGGACAAGAGAAGAAAAATGTTCAAAGGGCCACGATGTTCAGGTTTTTTAAAATTCTGATTCAAAACATTACTTCGACTTTATTTTGTATGTGGCAAATCTTTGAATTTCATAGGGACTAGAGAGTATTTAGGTGGGTGGGCCCAAGTTGCCAGGCAAGTTTAGAATCGTTGAGGCCTTAGAGCACAGAACTTTGCAGCATAAATACAGTTTCTCTGAGTGGTGTAAATGTTGCAGAATGGACCCATTTAGGAGACCAGATACTGTTACTGAAAGGACCCCCTCCCCAGGATCTTTCTGTACTATGGCCATTCACCAGGTGTTAGGAACTGTGGCTCTCAATGCCAGAGTTGGGTTAAAAGGGAACTATTTACTCAAAAGGTATACAGATTTAGAGTAAGGACAGAATGTCACCATTAAATTTCAAAGTCCCTTTAGAATACCCACCAACACACAGTCCTGCCTTCCCCCTTTGATCAGTCAGGCCAGTCTCAGAACAGGCCAAACAGAACTACTATTCTCCAGAAGAAAAAGAACAGATGTCCACAGCTCACTTCTGGTTCTCCCAGCAACCCATGCTGGGCTGGGAAGGTTGGCTTGCCTATAGAAACAGCACTATCAGCTCCCAGAACTATCATCTGTGTGGCCGAGATCTTCAGTTCTTAATCCAAAACCCCATGGCACCTCTTAAGGGATCACCAGGGAGAGTCCTTTCACCCCTTTTCTTCCAGCATGGTCTTGCATTGTCTCCAGTCCCTTGTGGTGGCCCAACCTTTAGTTTAAATCCCAGTCTGGAACCTCCTCCGAACATCATTTCTGACTCCTTCCACAACTGGCTACACCTGCTAGCAGCCCCCTATTCTCTGCCTTTCTTGGACGCTGTAGTTAGTCCAGGCAGGCGTGGCTCTGTGACATGGCCAAACCATCTCCAAACTCTTGCACAGGTGCTGTAACCAAGGGAGCTGACTCCTAGTTACATCATGGGTCAAAGTCTTGCCTGTCTCACTAGTTTGCCTGCTATTGATATGCAAAATCACTATTTTGCATATGGGTATTAAGCTAGCCTGCTGTTGATGTGCAAAATAACTCCCAAAGGCCCTGCTCCAGGTTTCCCTTCCCCCAGCCAGGCTTGTGGGGGCTCTCAGCCTACACCCCAGTACATAAAGAGGCAATCAGCCTCAAATGGACTGATTTGGCAACAGTTACTAGGTTGAATCTTGCCCTCAAATGCTATAGCCATAATGTATACAACTGTTCTTGTACATGTATCATTTTCAAATTGTATTTAGCACATAGATGCTATTTTTTCCTTTATTTTGTTTATTGTATATTTGTGTTCTAAAATGTTTGGTAGCCAACCTCTAGTTAAATAACTGATTTTTCTAAGTATTTGTTACTGGTGATGTTGGCTCTTAGTTCTGTGTTCGGCAAAGAAATCATTCAGAGCTAAGAGCTCCATTGCAAGAAGAATTTATTTATCATGCAAAATAAGAGTACACTCAAAGAGAAAATGCAAGCATCCTGCTCAGAGAGTTGCCTTGACCCTTTAGAAAGAAGGTCACAGAAGCAGAAGAAGTGAGCCAGCTGGGCTGTGTGGACTCAGGAAACAAGATAGACAAAAAGAGGGCCCTTGGAGACAGGTTCAGGGGTCAGCCCAGGACAAGCTACCACCCCCATTGGTCCCCTGGTTGCAAGTTTCCTGGGGAATCTTAGAGCTCAGGAGAAAAAAAGTGAAGGTACATACCCGAGGAAAAAAAGTATGGGCGTGCTCTAGAGAGAGAGTATGCACTGGATCCTTTGTCTTAAGGGTTTTTATCTGTTTTCTTTTATTCCTTTTTTAAAATTTATTGATTTGAGAGAGAGAAAGGAAGAGAAACATCAGTTTGTTGTTCCACTTATTTATGCTTTCACTGGTTGATTCTTGTATGTGCCCTGACCAGGAATCAAACCTGTAACTCTGATATATTGTGATGACACTCTAAGCAACTGAGCTACCTGCCCAAGACCCATTATATGTTTTGTAAAGAGTAAAATTTTAGAGGTGGTCTCATGGGAGGATCTCAGTAGAATATTCAGGAGTTTTCCATGGGTGTGTGTGTTTGTGTGTTTGTGTATGTCCTTTAATTTCCTACCTGATGGAAATGAGCATCCAGGGTCAGGGTTCTGGTCTCTACTGATTGGTTGGCACCAGAGAAGGGGGTCAATTGTCATTGCAGCTGGTCTGGATCTCAGTCATGGTATCACTTGTCTGGTTTTGTTGCTTCCCTGGGCCTGGATCTGAAATATAACTGAGGCCCAGATGTTATCTCCAATCTGACCAAAACTCTGTCTCTGTGGTCAACAGACCTGAGGCTTTGTTCCTAACATTGTCTGATGCTGATCAAAACCTCATTGTCTTCAGGGTTTAAAGCTTAAGGAAATGGCTGTGCGAGGCAAAAAGAGGCAGGTGAGTCAGGGTGCTGGATGAGGCCGGTTGAATCAGCTGTCTGTTTGAGTTTCCCCATTCTGTGTGCCAAGGAATATCCCTGGCTTCTTGCTATTCTGCTTCAGTTTTATTTTATATGCATATATTTTAACAAACATGATATGCTTATGAGCACATTATTCTTCAGCTATCACCCAAGGGTTTTCTGGGATAGTTCCAATCAAAAACATTCTATCATGTTGTTATATCATATGTTAGACCAATGTGTCTTGGTTTTTGGCTTTAGGGGGAAAAAAGCCATTCAGATTACTTCTTACTATGCTAAGAACCTTAAACATAAAAAAGAACAATGTATGAAAATAAGAGAGATGTGAACAGAAGCAGCCAACTGGCATCCATGCTTGGGCTCACATGCAAATCAAGTTATTTTTTGCTTTCAAACACTTCCCGATTTTTTTAAAAACCATATTTGAGGCTGGATAGGAACTCTATAAGAAAACATCAATGATATAAATACAGACAGCATTGTGTTGGGTAGAGCAATGCCAGGAATTGACAGGACCAACAGATAGAACCAAAGCAATTAAGTTTCCACAAACACTTGACTTGGTGTTGAATCAACACTCTTCTTGATAAACAGCAGTGTGGCAAGCATAAATGACAAATCATACATTTCCAATATATAAACCACACTAGTTTGATGAGGTAACAGAATTCTTCTCCAGCTTTCTTTTTACAAGGTGGGAGAGAAAAATAAGTTGTTTGGTAATTTGTGAGTTTTCATTCAGAGATCATACAAAATTCTCTTTCTGCAAAATGTTACATGATTTACAGATGAGCTTTGGCAGGCTCCCAGCTTTGTACTCTCTCCTTCCAACAACAACAGAATTCTTATGGCGATCAGTGAGCAGTTTTTAAATGACATTTAGTACTCCCACCCCACAGACTGTCTTCCTGGCATTCATTAAGAACTCTTTGGCAAGGCCAGAAAACTCCGTCTCAAGGGCCTCCAATCTTTCTGTTATTTTTTTTAATTTCACATCCTCTACCTGAGCAAAACAACACAACACACAAGCGTTCATGAGTGTACACTCTTCATCTTATTTTGCTTTGTTCCCTTGTAGATATTAAGTTGACCTTTCCCCGGAAAGACATGGGAGAATTTTCATTAAATAACAATATCTTCTTTCTTTCAAAGAACAAAGGTATTATGCAAAATGGAAAAAAAGAAAAAGATACAGAGACTTCAATATAACTGGTGATACACTCATATATAAATGGCCATATGTTCATATATAAATGGCTATATGCTAATATATCCAGACATATTCCATGTTTCCAGAATAATAAGCAAAAAAATGATTATATCTAATTTTAGAGTGATTTTTCTATTCTCGTATATGATTTCTGTCTGGAGGACAATGTCATTTTTAAAAAGTTCTATTTATTTTTTGTTATGTAGCACAAATGACATCTGGAGTATTTAGTGTTTACTATTGAATATAAAATTATTTTAATATTTTCAGACTTTTCAAGGCAGTTAGTTGGTTCCACATTACTTTTGGACAAATTGCTATTTTGCAGATAGTTTTTCTATGGAACAGAAAGTTCCTTAGGAAAATGGACTCTTTATCTTTTTATTCCCCAAACCTCAGAGTATCTGGTATTTGTAGTGTCATTTCCATAAATGCACTGTGTGCACTATATGCCAGGTATTGAATTGCAAACTTCATGAGATTGTTTGTTTGCTAATATGTTTGGTTATTCTATGGATCCTCAGTGCATAGAAGAGAGCATGGTCCATATTAATGCTGCGATAAATATTTATTGAATAAATGCATCCCTGCACGTAATAAAGCTGATAGATTGCCTCTCTCCTCTGGACCATGGGGTCAGTTTTTTTTCAGACCTTTTGCTATCTGATTGTGGCTCCACTGAATTGTGCAGCTAACCTTTGCATCTTGTTCCAAATGTGGACATTTAAGAGTGATGAGGTTCATTGAAGACATTGCCTGAACCATAAACCAGAAATGCGTACACAATCATGATTTGTAATCATCACAAGCTCTAGATTTGTTCTGATTACCGTGACCCCAGGCCCTTTGTCTGTTATAAATTCCTGGCTCTCTTACAAGCACGTTCATTGCACTGACTTCCTCAGAGAGCAAAGCTTCCCGTGAAGTGTTGTTCAAAAGCAAGAGCACACTGTATACCATATATCTGGTTCTCATCGCGACTCTGAGTTTTACAAACTATGTCAACTTGGGTAAGTTATACAATATCTTTGTGTGTCAGTTTACTTTTTTGAAAAGTGAGATTAATAATACATGACTACTTAATAGCATCATTATTATATTAACTAAGAGATATGTGCAGTCTTATCCATTATCATTTAAGTGTTACATGTTTCCATGCTCTTAATACAGGGATTAATAAACTTGAACATACTGTTTAATTAAGAAGTACTGTTACTTATTCAGACCATTCTCATGAACTCCTTGTAGCTAAGCAGATTACCATGGAGTTATATAGATCTTAAAGTATGAAGATAGGCATCTTCTATTTCATGAACTGTATGACTCTTCCCAAACAAGCAGACTCATACTCAAACAGACAGTGACCCTGTCTTTTTTAAAACTGAGGGTAGGATATTTCCAAATCTTACCTTGGAGAGTTGCTAGGCATTTCATGGATTGTCATAAATCAGGCAGCTATATACAGGGATCTGTTTCTGCATTCTATTATATCACATTGGCTACACTTGTGCCACTAGTACTCTGTCTTAATTACTTACAGCATTACAGTAAGTCTTGGTACCTGATAGTATAAGTATCTAGCTTTGTTCATTTCCAAAATTTCATCTATGTTGAATCAAGCTTCTAGAAGAAAATAACTTTATGATTGGTGACTTTGGGATGACAGGAATTTTTGGCAATGGGATGGACACACATATGCAAGCATGTACAGCAAGACTGTTCACCAGGAAGAAAGATAAACTGGACATATTTAAACTCAGAACTTTGGTTTAACCAAAGATACAATTAAAAGAGTTCAAGAAATAAGCCACAGACTAAGAGGTGATATTTGCAATATATACATTTGAGAAATATCTAATATCAAAAACATGTAGATAATTCCTGCAAACCAATAAGATACAGTCAAGCTAATTACAGCAGTGGGCAAAAGAGTTGACAAACTTCACAAAAGATGGTAACAAAGTGGCTGATAAACTTATAGAAATGTATTCAGTATCATTAGTCATTAGACAAATACAAATTAAAGCTTTGAGATATATATGTGTATATATAATTACATAAATATAATGAATAAAATAATTTTTTAAAGAGAAAAAAGACAGTACACCACATATAGGTGAGGACATGAAGCTAGTGGGAGAAAAATATATTTACTTTTATAACTCCTTGAAAAAATATTTTACAGTACCCACTAAAGCAAAACATATGTATACCATATGACCCAATGATTCTACTCCTATGTGTATTTTTAAAAAAGTGAATAGCAAAATGGACAAAAAGACTTACATAGAATGTTCATGGAAGTTTTATTCACAGAGTTCTAAACTTAAAATGTTCAATAATAGAATGAGGAGGTAAATTATATTGTGTGCACACAGTAGAATACTACATAGCTATTAACAAAAATAAACCTCACATGCAACCTGGTTGAGTATCATAAGTCTAACCTCAGGTGGAATAGGTTAGGTACTAAAAATATATATTTTAATTATATGAAGCTTCAAAACTGATAAAACTAACCCCTAGTTACAGAAATCAGAATGGTTTTTATTCTTGAGAGTTACTGACTGGAAGGGAGAACAGGGTGTCCTTGAGTGCTGACACCATCACACATATTGCTGTTGGTGGTGGTTACACACACACATACACATATTTATGTTTACAAATTTATCAATCTGTATGCTTAAGATTTATGTACTTTACTAAATATAACTTAGTCATTTTTAATTGACAAATTCCTTGAGACAAAGAAGATAAAAAGGTGGAGAGCATTTTCCTTGTAGTGTCCATTCTTACGAATTCCTTGGCCGAGACCTGGGAGGGGCTGTTCTTCATGTACGTGCTTTCTGAGACAGTCATGGTCCAGCGATTTAATGCATCAGAACACATAGCAAGGGCATGCCAAAAGGCAGTACTCAATTCTCCTCAGTTTTTTTCTCATGTTTGATCTTTCCTTGTACTAAATATATCTTACAAATGTCCATGTTCTGTTTATAAGTTAATAATAATACAATATAAAACATAAAAGTACATTTAAATCATGTATCAAGTTTCTGGTATTATTGTCTGAAAATATTTTGAGAGCTTGGGCCTAAAATTGCCTACTGTGTACAGAGTAGGTGAAGTGAGGGCTGGCAGTAGAGTCAGTGAGGTGATACCACTGCTGCTTCTGTAATGCTGCTTGTTCAGAAAAGCTTCCTTTACCTCAAAATAAGCAACTATGATTTTTAGGTTAACATGACCTACTTAATTCCTACATGCGCAGTCCTTCAGGTAATGGAGAATCATTTAGACTATCCCGGAGGCTTGGCCATGGTCTCGGTTCTGGACAAATCCTGTCTTAATCCTCCAGTGAATAAGCCTCAGTCTGGGTCCCCACAGTCTGTACCCTGGGACCACTTATTTTTCTACCCGCATGACTGCTATTCAACCTCTAAATCCTGCTCTCCAGTTCTAATTTCCATGTCTGCACCTTGGTTATTTCTGCAGGATTTGCTGGTTGCCACAAGCTCTGTTCCCTGTCGTTGTCCACCCCAGAGTCCCACCTTGTGACAATCTCTGAGGGCTCTCCCAGAGTCCAAATGAGCTGTACTTTCATAAGAGTTCTGAGCCAAGAGTTCTGACACCTTCATAATTACTTGAATTCAATCCTCATTCCCAAATGTTTAATGTACTTCTGATACCCAAGTATCAACCTTTATCTTCATGATTCGACTCAGTTGCTCTAGTGGGTATTTGAGCCTCATGTAAACAATGTATTCATGACATTACTTATAGATAAAAATGTGAACAGCCTAAAATCAAACTTTAGCCAGATTTTTATTATGTAAATTAAAAGTCATTCACATTACCCAAATAATGTTCATAATAATTCTGGGAAAAATAACAAACAATATTTTGTAGAAATTGTGTCGATGAGTAAATCTGAGTATTGAAGTTGTCATAGGATAAAAAAGGACTTAAGAGATAAATTCTAAATTGTCAGTGCCAATGGTTTGATTAATATGAAATAAGCAAATTTTGGGGTGTGACTTAAAACTCTTTAATAGCTTTTTTGAGGTATAATCAAGGTACATGTTAATGTATATCTGTGAAAACATCATAATATTTAAGATAATGAGCATTCACACCAACCCAAAAAGTTTTCCCTCAGAAGTTCCAGCCAGCCTCATAGTGGGGCCTAACATATAATAACACAGGAGTGAATATATACTCATATGAATGTGTGTATATATACATATGTAATTGTAGCTTTATATAATTGTATAAATAGTGAGATAACAAATATCAATGTTTACATATATTAACCTACTACATTTCAGTAAGGCTTTTTTATTTCATTTTTTCTTTAACTAACTCAGGAAAAAATTATGTCTTACTGGAGTTTTTGAGGGTTAAGCAAGAGAATAAGGTGCCTATTTCATTATCTATGTCACAATATTATTATAAATTTGGGGGTTTAAGGGTATGTGACATTTTGGAGGGGAAGAGAGAGGAAGAGAAAGGAAAAAGTTGGCTAAAGAATAATAGAGGAGAGACCCGGCTGGTGTAGCTCAATGGATTGAGCATGGGCCTGCAAACTAAGAAATTGCGGTTCGATTCCGTCAGGGCACATACCTGGGTTGCAGGCCAGTTCCCAACAGGGGACACACGAGAGGCAACCATACATTGATATTTCTCTCCCTCTCTCCTTCTCTACCCCTCTAGAGATAAATAAATCTCTAATAATCTATAACTTATTAATATCTTAAAGCAACCTCTACTGAATAGAAATAAAGGAGAGGCTATATTAACTGTTTTTCCTGACTCCCAAAGACAGCCGTTCTTAGCAGAATGATCAGATGTTATAAAATGTCTCCAAATCAACATAACTTACTCATACCAAGATCACACCTCTTCTCTTTGGGGAATAGAGAACTCAAATCTAATCTTTTCATGTTTTGATGTTATTTTTCTGATGCTACTATAAGAAATTACTATAAACTTAGTGTTTACTATAAACTTAACACAAATTTGTTAGTGTACAGTTCTGGAGGTCAGAGGTCCCAGTGGGTCTCACTGGGCTAAAATCATGATCAGCATGGAGAGCCCAAGGGGATTCTATGTCCACTCCTTTTCCTACTTCCGGAGGTTGCACTCATTCTTTGGTGTGCACGATCCCTTCTCTAGCTTCAAACTCGGCAGTGGCTGGTCAAGTCTTTCTCATGATTCATCACTGACATTACCTTCCTCTTTCACATTCAAGCCCTTTTGTGATTACGTTGAGCTCACACAGATAACCCAGGACAATCTCCCTATTTTAAAGTCAGCTGATTAGCAATTTTAATTCCATCGCTACCTTAATTCTCTCTTGTTATAAATGTAACATATTTAACAGTTCCAGAGATGAAGACATTAAGTCTCTTATTCCTCCAATCACAGTTCTTTTTTCCCCTCTTGATCCCAATGACTAATATATTAAACCTTATTCTGATCCTGCTGGTTTCTTTTCACAGAAAAATGCAAATATATGTAAAAGTGGTTTTTAAAATGTCTTATTACAAAACTTTATCTCAAAAGTTGACAGTAATCTAAAATTATGTTACTTTTCTTTCCAGGAATGACAATGAAACGCTTCTTATTTTTGGCGGCTGTTGCTGGCTTTCTGCCTGTTTTAATCGTAAGAGTATTATGAGGCTTCTGCATTTCATAATTACTTCTTGGAAGAAATAAGAGCTAGCCTTGTAGAAGACTCGCCTTATTACAGGCACGGTTGTGAGGATTCTGTCTATTACTCACCCAGTTCTCACCATTGCCCTGTTACGCCAGTCCGTGCTAGGCTTAGTCTCATATTACAGAGACTGCTTAAGTCCCATAGCCAAGGTTAGGTAACTAGGATGCGGCAGAGCCCAACAGTAACCTTCAGTAATTTGGTTCTGTGCGCTCGTGCTTATTATAGTCTTCTGAATAATTTTTTAAAAAAGAAACGAAACAGAATGTAGAGCAAGAATTACTTATCTATAATTCATCCATGTATTGTCCATGACTAAATGGGGGAAAACAAACACTGTCTTGTTCTGTTTACTCAGAAAAGGTAAGTGTTTCATTAATATTCAAACTTGGCTGTCTGATTTATAACTATAACAAGATTTTAACACATCAAAAATAAATATAAAATGAATGGTGCCAAAATTAAGGACAGAAGTATTCTATAAGAAGCTATTAGCAATGGAGTGAATATATAAGGCCAGAATCTCACCACTTATTAAAAACAAGAACTTCAACAATCAGAAACAAACAAAACACTCAAAGGTATATAATAAGAAATAAGTCTCAAATATGTTGTGCTCACCCATTAATGTACCTCTAAATACCTCAACAATGTAAAGAAAATATAACACTTTTTAATATTTCCTAAAATATTTTTATTATAACCTGAAGTCAATAGCTTTGGTATAGAAAGTGTTTTTTAAAAATATTTTTATAAACTCGATAATGAGGGGAACTTAGGCTGGCAAGTTTCCCCAGGCCGACGCAGATGAGAATAAAGAAAGAGTGGTTCAAGACTCAATCTTGTTGCGGGAAAAGGGGTGGTGATTCCCTCTAGTGGGGAATGCCCAGAGCCCTTCTCCAACACGGTTGTTATTAGGGTTGGGAAGTGCAGGGGGATACAGAACACGTGCGTAATTTGTCAATCAATGTCCAACAAGTCTATAGTTATAAAAAACTAAAGCTATCTATAGATAACAATTGAAGAAACACAGGAACCTTTTCAGGCTGGGGTCTGCAAGACATGCAGACCACAGGTGGTTGTAAAGGCATGTATTGTGAAGTAGGGAGTTTCATTCCTTACCCCTTGTGCTCAAACATCTGGGTTATACTGACAGGGCTTATCATTGAACAGAGCTGGCTTTAAAGAAAAAAAAATGTGCATTTCAGGACTGATTCCCACAGGACCCTTTGTGTTAGAGCTGAGTCATGCCTGCCACCTGCATTATGACCTGGCTTTCCAGGGAGCCTTACCAGCCCCTTTCAGAGCTTGCTCTAAGGGGCCTACAACCTCCAAAACCACACAGAGTGTGGTCCCCACACCTTCCGTGTCTGTCCCCAACAAGATAAGTCAGACACAGAAGGTACTAAATGTTATAAACAAAAGCAAATCCATATGCATTAAACTACTGGGGTGTTGGTTTAGATCATGTCACTCCCAGATTCCTCCTCCCGCCCCTCTGGTTCTCTGCCTATTTAGTGCCCCAACATAGAAGGGGGATCTCCACACTTCACAGTAAGGAAAACCTAAGCTGAAGCATAGCAACCATTCTGGAGTGTGGGGGTTTTGGAGGCAGGGGAAAGAAGACAGCAAACAAACTACATTTGCTTTAAGACCTAGTTAATATTGCACTGGTATAGGCCACTTAGCCCAAGTTCTTGGAGACAGCCTGGCCCAGGTGACATGTGAAAGAAGGAATCAGTATCACATACCGATATCCAATACTCTCCAAGAATACAGAGAAAAAATGTGAAAGGGTTGAAGGAGCTGATAAAATGATATGTCTGTATTCTATAGACACATAGTTATTGGAACATTTACATGTGATTTGATAGACAATTTGTTGAGAAAATTAAGGCTTAAGAATTTTAAATGAATATGATACAGATAGAGTCCTTCAAACACAGGAATCTCAGTTAAAGTAAATAATAAACTGTTTCAATTTGTACCCCCACCAAAGCGGGTAATACTTTCCATTTTAAAACTCCAGATAGAAAGTAAATAGACTGATTGCCAGGCCTGAATGTTATTTTAAAATTCTCTTCAATGTTAAATTTTACTGGGATACTAGGCATCTAATTGGACAGATTTTTTTTTTACTGAGATATAAAGTTTTCCATGAGAACCTGGTAAATGCTATAGAATGTGGTCTTTGAATAAAAAGTGTGGGAAGTGGCAAGGAGGTAACTAAGCTGGTTTGATCTTGTTCAGTGCAATTAGTGATTACTCTGGTGATTAGGACATGGTGCCTCAGCTCTAAAGGGTATATAGACAGGGCTTGGTAGAGCAAGCTGAAAGGGCATAAAAACAGAGGGACAGGCTTCAGCAAATATTCTGAGAATGTGGAAACCAGCACATTGGAGACTACAGCAGAGAGAAGGAGGGGGACATGTCTTAAATAGAGCTTGGGAAGTCAGCAGGGTCTTTTTCAACTCAGTTAAAGATTTGGTTCTTTCTAAGACTTATAAACTGTTAAAGACTTTTAACAGAAAGGTGACTCCACTGTGTCTGTACTTTGCGATGTTTACTCTGGTGGATGAGTGGAGAGCAGACCATAAGGGACTGGATAGGGCAGTGAGAGGGAGGGTGTAGAGATGATGAGGCACATACTAAGTCTGGGAGGCCAGTAGAAGGCCAGGCTATAGCCACAGTCAGTCCAGGTGAAGGAAGAGGACTATGAGAGTGGGAGAAAGATGAAGAGAATGTGTCATCCCTGACACTAAGAAAAAAGACTATTTCTACACTGACGGCTTAGTCAAAGGACATAGCTGCCAATAGACCAAGTAGGATGAAGATGTTTAAAGAATATATTGAATTTACCATTTGAGTTTGTTGGTGACTTGGAGCTGTTTGTGGTTTTGTAAGATATTGAGCAGAATTACTAACCTCTCTCCACAAGACGGCAGAGTTGTCTCCCTCATGCAGTGTGACCACCAACAATTTCTCTAGACATGGTCTAAAGCCTAGTGGGAAGAGAGGGAAGTTGGGGAGGGGGCCTAGCACCACGGATACAAACCCACTGCTTCAGTAGAATAAGTGAGGAGAGGTTGGATGTAAGACTATGTTACTTAAACAGCTGGGAATTATAGGCAACCAGTGCTGGCAACCTTTTCAGGAATTTTGATAGGAAGAGAAAGTAAAGAGAAAGGACAATGATTGAATGGGGAGGTGAGATAATTCAAGAGTTTTGTTTATTTATTTTAAGATGCAAGCATCATCATCTTGAATAAATGCCAGTAAGACGGACCAAAAAAGTGGTTTGCAGATAAAATGGAAAGATAATGAGTAATAGGAGATTTGGGGAAAGGTGGAAAAGAATGGACTAAAAAACACAGGTTGTGAAATGTGCTTTTGAAAGAATGACCTGTTTTTACTTCTTTGAGGAACCCGAGACAAATTTTCATAATGGCTGTACCACTTTGCATTTTCACTAACTGTATAATATAGGGTTATCTTTTTTCACATCATGGCCAACATTTGAAATCTTTTGATTTTTAATAATTGCCATTCAAAGAAATATTTGATAATATTCTATTGTGATTTGCTTTTCTCTGGTAAATAGCGAGGGTAAGAACTTTTTCATGTACCTATTGGCCACTGCTGTTTCTTCTTTGGAGAAATGTTTGTTCATGTCCTTGTAGTAATTTTAACAGGGCTATTTTTGTGCTATTGGGTTGTTGAGCCCCTTATATATTTTGGATATTAACCCCTTATGATATATATGGTTTGCGCTATTCTCTTCCTTTTTGTAAATTGCCTTTTTCATTTTGTTATTACTTTTGCTGGGCAGAAACTTTTTAGTTTGATATAATCCTGTTGGTCAGTTTTTGCTTTTATTGTCTTCTGAACCACAGGGGCCACATACTCAACCTGACAGGCTTGGGTTGGGGGTGCTGCGTGGCAGCCCTGCAAACCCAGAGACCTAAAGTAACCACAAAGGATGGTCTCAAATTCAAAATGTTCTAAAAACAGGCCATGGCAAATAGTCATGTCCAAGGCTAGACACGGACAAAAGTCCATCTTTACCTCAGTACCGCCTCTCTGTTGTCTTTTTGCATCTCTGATAACACACCTTTGAAATGTCAGATTTCCTTTTTCGGGACCCCTGCAACCACAGGCACCTCGCCAGAGGGAGACCACAAATCCCCTCATTGTTACTGTTACTGTGTTCATTGTTAACTGTCTACTTTCTTATACCCTCCTGTGTAAAAGAAGTATGTGTCTACCTCTTTACTTTTTGCCCAATTCCAGAAGTTTCCCTGCTTTGCTTTCTCCCACCTCCCTAATTTATCACCCACAGACCACATAACTCACTTATGCATCCTCTTTTGATTGTAATGAATAAAATAAGGTGCATTACTGCCCTTCTCCAGAGCATTTTCTCAATCCATTGAGGTTTTGCTTACCTACAGTCGTCATCAGTTTGGCTCAAATAAACTCATATAAATTCTCTACAGGTTTGAACATTTCTGGTGTTGATAGTATGTGCTTGCCAAGACCAATAGCAGCACTTTACCTGTGTTTTTGGCCAGGACTTTTATAATTTCATATCTTACATTTAAGTCTTTAAACCATTCTGAGTTGATATCTATGTACTATGTAAAATAAGGGTTTTGGTTTAATTATTTCACATGTGTATATCCTGTTTTAAATTTGCCAAGAGGGCAGATCTTACGCTAAGTGTTTCTACCTTCACACAAAATAACAGTGATAGTTATAATAGTGAGGGTGGGAAAAATAATTAGGAGGTGATGGATATGTTTATGCTCTTGATGGTGGTGATGGCCTTCTGAGTGTGTATTGATCTCAAACTCACTGAGATGTGTATATATTCAGCATGTACAGCATTTTACATCTCAACTATACTTCAATAAAATAGTTTAAAAAACACACAAGAAAGTGTAACCTGTTCCACAGTACCACAAAAGATTTAGCTGCAGTCTGGAGAGAAGCTGGAGCAGCTGTCCTCTGATAGCTTCTCTTCACTGAAGAACATGAGACGTATTTGGAGAAGCAGGTGTTACTGGGTTGGAGTGCATAGGTTCTGCGGTAACACTGTGGAGAGAGACAATGTGATGTAAGCAGGTGAGTGAGTAGAACTGATGAGCAGAATTAAAGAATAATTTGAGATCAGACATTTTGATAATGGGTGGTACCAGTATTAGTCCTGTTCTGATATCTTTTGGCCAATACTCAGCTGACTTAATCCAGGCAGGGAAATTTTTGGTCCCATCCAAAGGTGGGGTATTCCTCTAGGGGGAAGGACAGGCAAAAGATTCATTCTTTTAGCAAGACAGTTGTTGAAATGAGGGCACATGGGTAGAAAAGAATGAGAAGACATGAAAGGGAAAATAGAGAAAATAAAGACTGAGCTTGATGGCTAATAGAATGCCTGTACTTAGCAACTGGGAAGAACAGGGAATCATGGTCAGACAGTGGAATTCTTGGCCAGTGGTTAGGTAGGGAGCTATGGTCACTAGGAATGATTGTGCCATACAGACTGTGACCGTTGGAGGTGGAGAACTGAAGAGGCTTGTAAAAACAGGCTTAACAGAGGAAGAGTTCACAGGCCTGACACATCAGCTAGAATAATCTATGTGGATGCCAAGTCCCTCGAGTGGACTAAGTCATTAGGTGGACCAAATGAATTTGTTTCAGGACACCCAATGTCTGTGAATAAGAGGAAATGACAGGAAAAACTTGTTATAGGAGAGTAAATATTCAGGGAGCAGGAGGTAGTGCTAAGTGCTGTTAGTTTTACCAGAGAAGGGTTTTCCAGAGGAGCCAGGAGAGTTGTAATCTGGTAATGAGAAGAGGATGCTCATGCATCACCAACCTCTCCTCTAGCCTAGACCAGAGCCACCTGCAGTATGAATGGAAAATAGCACCAAAATAGTGTGTTTTGTTTTTTTAATTTTATTTAGTTATTTTTCAAGTACAGTTTTTGTCTATTTCTCCCATCCCAGCCCCCCAAAATAGTGTGTTTTTGAGAAAATAATGTCCTCATGGAACAGCCTCTATGTAGGTCTTCTGAATTTCCATATTTATGTCTTTCCTCTATACCCCAAAACTGGTGTTAGAAAATAAAGGACATTAACGACTTCTATATTTGAAGAAGGTGGGACACTGGATCCTACCTATTCAGAAATTATATTCATAGTCCCATGGGAATTGAGAAATAAATAGATATCACTCAAATCATACTATATAAGTTATATCACTATTTTAAGGATGTGAATTATATGTGATATATCAAACACAGAAAAGCTGCTCTTTATGGCAATTAATGTTAACCTAAGATATTAAGGAGTTATTTTTCTTCTTAGTGAGTTGTAGGATAAAAGGTAAACACACTTTTTGTTCATGTAAATTGTAGATTATAACTGATTTGAATCCCATTTTATACTTATAGATGTAAACAATGTTTTTTTCATACAAATTAGACAAAGATGTACAATCTGAGTTAAAGAGAATTGAATCTTTGTACTTGTAATGAATCTCTTACATTAGGTTCTCCTAGATGCCAACCTTTAAACAGAAATCCAAGTGTAAGTGGTTTATCTGGGAACCAAAGAGAATACTTGGTGGTGTGGTGGGCAATGAGCCAAGGAAGTGAAGTCAGTCAGTTAAAGGTATGCCACCGAGACAACCCACTGTGGTTCATGCAGCCCAATAACAACTGCTTCAACCTGGTCCAAAGCACCAATTACAAATTTCAAAAGGCCCATCACAGAATATTGCACTACTCTATAGACTTGTACGATGTCAGACAGACATATGGAAATCCTCAAATCCAGGACTGGTGAAGTGGAAACTAACATATAGCAATAACAAATTTTAAAATACTCTTCAGCATTATTTATTCCATGTAAATTATAAATTAAAATTGTATATAGGTCTGCAAAGTAATATAATGTGCCTGACAAATTACACTTTGAAGAAGAAAGACTAATTAATTTTCTGGTAACAGGTAAAACCAGCCACGGTTCCATATAGCGATCTCCTTACTCACTTGCCAGCTGTTCAACAACAAATTGTTAATCTACACAATACCGCCAGGAAACTAGTAAATCCGGAAGCCAGCAACATGTTGAAAATGGTAAGATTATTCAAACAGTAGTAACAACAATGACGATAACAGTAATGGTGTTTACTGAGTTTTTATAAAGTTCTATTTACTTTCAATATACTAGAAGCTTGGTCTTCACAAGCAAACCTCTGGCATAGCAGCAGAAGAAACAGAGGCCCAGAAGAGATAAATTTCTCAAAATTGTGCAGTGAGTAAATGCCAAAGCAACAATCTCAACCCAGGCAGGCTGGCTTCATTCACAGTGTGCCCTAGGACAGTGCTTCTCAAGCCTGAGTGTGCTCCAGAAGCATCCGAAAAACTGGGGGCAGCCAGGTTCCTGGGGCCCCCTCTCTGAGCTCCTGATTCAGGAGGTCTGGGGTGGAGACCAGGCCAAGCTCCTGCCAATGCTGATGCTGCCAGTCAGTATCCTCTGTAGAGCACACCTTGTTTAACAAGTCATTGAGGCATCTTATAGCTGTTTTTCTTAGGCAACAGCCCAGAGGCTAAGACATTCTTCTGAGAATAAAGATGTCCAGGTTCTAAGCCAGGTGAGGCTGCCAGGTAAACAGATATCAACAAATCTATTTTCCAGCTCCCTTGCATCTCATAAAAGGAGAGAGAAATTATATTTCTGTTACAAACCTGATGGGTGAGCAGATTAGGTGCTATAAAACAAAACAAATTTAGGGAATTCTCAGGTGATTGGTATTGCATTTATTATCTCACAGAAGTATCATTCAGATTTTTCAGGAATCTTATCCTGGTTCCTCGAACCCTGGACTGGCCTAAAGTAGCAAGGACTAGTGCAGACTCTGGAGGATGATTCTAAGTGACAGTTTCCTCGTGTTAAGTGACAAAGTGGAAGAAACAAGTGAATAGATAAATGATTTCAAAAATGTATCTGTTGGTCATCTTAGAATCCAAAGTGTTATTTGAACAAAACAATAAAAATTGAAGGCCCTTCCCAGCATTGTCACATTGTGAGTGCTGCATCTGATGCGTATATTGTGCTTACTATTGACAGTCACTCTTCTGAAACCTATCCTATTAATTCATTTAATACGATAGTTCTGTGATTACATACTATCATTTCTATTTTACAGGTGATTAATCTGAACCTCTGAGAGATTAAGTAGCTTCTCCAGTCATGAGTACTGGATCAGTACAGATACAAATGCAAATGACCAGCTCCAGGCACCTGCTCTCAATTTACTTCCCTTAGGACAAACATGGTCTAAACTCCCTGGTTTCTAGATGAGCAAATAAGTGTAGCTGGCAATATTGAAGAAGTTATAGAGTAAGTGGAAATTATAGGCTCTGATTTCAGAATTTCACTATTGTGGACTAAAGGTTTATACAATGGAAACATTAGAGCATAAAAATGGATTTATTCAAGTGCTAATTTACAAAAGTATGAGAGAGCAACAAGATGGTAAGTGAAGCAAACCTATAAAACTGAGTAATATTTTAAAGGGACTATGAGAATTGAGTTCTTCCATAAACAATGCATAGGATGTGGATAGAAAGAAAATTACAGCATTACTATAGGGCTGTAAAGTCTGTCACAATTGCCAGAGAGGTATTTAAAAAAAAAAAAAGAAGTTTCTATGTATTGGGTTAAAAACTTCTGACATCAAATGAGATCAGGCATGTTCAGCGTGGTTTGGCCATAGACAATTGGGTTAAAAATCAATTAAATAGAACCCCTTGTTCAAGGCAGAATTCGTAGCTTTGATGCAATAACTATAAACTCTCACTTGTGATTTCAATCAGGGATATATCATAAAAACAGGGTATCTTATCAACATAAATCAGAAGACATGTCTGAGAGAGCTTCCTCAAAGAGGTCTGAACAACAAACTCTGTATAATGAATGTTGCAGGTAATTTATACGCAACATAAGCAGAATCTGAGATGGAAATTAGCACACAGGATGTTTATTGGGAAACAGTCTCCAGATTTAGGCCTACGTAAAGGTAGAGAGAAGAACAGCATTGGATATATGGAGGATGCAGGCCCAACAGAGGTCTCAGTTACTCCTGTGGGAAACTGTGCAACTAGGATGACCATTCTGAGTTGTCCTGAGTTGGAGGGAGATGACCTGGCATTCACATGGACTCACTGTTGGATATGGCTGCCCAGAGAAGGGGTTATGCTCATGAAAAAGGACAATGTTAGGGAGGACAGGCAGTAGTAGAGTTGTCTGTGGGCAGGACTCCCAGCTTAAGAGGAAATAAGTGCCTCAGCTGAGAAAGGGACCTGGGGAGTGCATCATAGTATGTGTGACAAGCAATCAGCTGTAAGTTAGCCAGATAAGTTCCAGTCCTAAGCATTTGGTAACCTGGCCATTATAGGCAAGAGTTTGTACTACTGAGTGTGATTGATGTCGTTCCCACTGACAGGAGATCTCATGTCCTAATGGGATGTGTTATGTTCTCTCTACTTCTTCAGTAAGATATGTTCACTACTAAAATCTTCTCTCGAATGAAACAAACTCAACAAAACCATGTTTTTCCTCTGATCTCAGGTTAATGAATTAATTCATCTCCCAGTTTCCAAAATTCATTAACTTGAGGTATAGTTCTAAGAAACAAATATGATGGCAGCATATGCATATAATAGCTAAACATTGAAGCCAGGATAAATATTGTCAATCTGTTTTAGGGTGTCATCCAAAAATTATTATAAAGAGTAGCTAAATGACTTATGTAAAATCTTATAGTAAAACACCAACTCCGCAACTTTGGTTGATAATGTGCTGCGTGCATATATCTGAGCATTTTTTTTAATGATCATAACACAGTGTGAGAGGGAAATGGTATTTGGGAGAATGTTTGTCACAGAGTCCCATAACTTGTGACATAGACGTTCCGCATTTCATTTTATTCAGAGATAAACCAAACAAAATGTTACAGCTCAGCACAACTGTCACACACTGAGAATTAAGAGCACACATTCTGGAGCCAGAGCACCCTAGATTCTAATTCTCTTTTTACCATGTATTTGTTGTTTTGTCTTAGAGAATAATGCGACATTTCTGTACCTTAATTTTCTCATTGGCAAATGGGAATAACCATAGGACTTCCCTTGTAGGACTGCTGTGAGTAAAGATGAAGGAATAGTCATACAAAATTGGTAACAGATCCTGGCATGTAGTATTAGCTATCATTTGTATTATTACTCACAATTTTATATGGAGGTGTGTGACACTATATCTGCTTCTAATCACAGTCATCAATTATTTATTAGACATGTAACATATGATGTGTCATATCATAATTGCATTAGTTATCATATAAAATTTTTGAATAAACAATTGGGTAGAATTATAGGTTACAGCTGAAGAAACTGAGATTCAAAAAGATTAAATAATATGTACCAATAACTGAGGGAAGGGATTTCTAACTTTGGTATCTTTTACTGGAAGTATTTACTTAACCTCTTTAATACTTCTAAGAGAGAAGCTATATCTGAGCTCTATTACCAAATTTTGATTTTGTAAATTCAAAAAAGCTAAAACAATGAATTAGAAGATATATCTTCCTTTTTATCTATCCTCACGTGTTTCCATTAAGCTATTTAAATTAGTATAATTATTTACATTGTCTTAAATTACTTAAATTGAGGATATTTCTAACTTTGGATTTTTAAAATTGATAAACTGAAATTTTATTATGGAAATGTTAAGCTCTGGCTAGTGTGGCTCGGTGGATTGAGTGCCAGCCTGGGAACCAAAGGGTCACCATTTTAATTCCTGGTCAGGGCACAGGCCTGGGTTGGCCAGGTCTCCAGTAGGGGTGTACGAGAGGCAACCACATATTGATGTTTCTCTCCTTCTGTTTTTCCTTCTCTTCCCCTCTCTCTAAAACTAAATAAATAATTTTTTAAAAATTATTTTAAAAAAAGAAAATGTTAAGATCACGTGTTTGTATAACATTTTACTCTTCCACTGTAGAGTTGGAGTGAAGAAGCTGCCCAAAATGCCAGACTATTGTCAAAGAAATGTGACTCGGCAAAGAGCAATGCAGTCAGAAGGCGAATTGCATGTAGGTGTATTTTTATACGACTCCCCTGTGTATTCACAAGTCCTCCAGACCTGGTTATTAAGTAACCTAGGTTATTAAGTAACCTAGAAAGAGTAGTTTAATTCAGGTCATCCATATTTACATTTGCTCCACAAATGACAGTGAATTTTGGCCCACTACAGTCTCATTATTTTTTTTTAATTTGGATATTCAGTTTTTTTCAAATTCCATATTCTAATCATCAAAAGGAAAGAATCAAAACTCTCAGTGTTACAGAATAGTTGAATTATACAATGATGACTATTACATACAGTTAGATAGCTAGAAGTTTCCGCTCTATGTTATTTCGGCTGCCCACAAAATTGCCACAACTTAAGCTTTGGAACACTAACACAGTTGAGGAGTTATAGTCAACTCTACTGAGCTTTCCAGAAGAACAATTTTAGAGGCTCAAACATGACTCCATCTCATGGCATATGTAATAAGTGGGTCACTATTAGTTTCCTGGAAAGCCAATACTACTTCCTACTCAAGTAGAGATGAATATTTATGAGATACAGTTTATTACAAAATATTTTTAAATAATAATAAAACCTTTATATTTGTTGATAATTGGGCATCTTTGCCCAATATTGTTGAGCAGTGAATTAGCAATGAGTCTTTCTTTCCCAGAGAAATGCACATCACTCCTGAACACCATGTTTGCTTAAGAGCTCACGTCACAAACAGGATGGCTGAATGAGCGAGTGTTTATTTCAAAGACCTGACATTATTAATACCACTGTGTAGCTGTTTTCAAACCATGAGCTCTGTTACAAGTCATCATCTTCTCTGACTGATTTCACTTTTCTTCATCGGCTAAATGGCAAGACTGAAATGTTGGTTGATTTCATTTCCAAGCTTTGCACATCATCTTGTACTATCAGCTTCTCACCAAACCTGAGCAGCAGACATTTATTCATCAGTGAGGAAGAAGACTGCCAGCAGTGATACAACTGAGTTTACCCCCTCTTAAAAGTCATTGCTTGAATGACCAGTATAATATTTATAAAGTACAAGTAAGGAAATCATCCTTGTAAAGTATTTTCAAATTTTTAGAGTATGACCCAGCCCTTCTCCCTCCTTTCAGATACTTTTTGTGGAGAAAATAAGTATTTGGCGACTGATGCTATATCATGGCTCGATGTCATTGGAACCTGGTACAATGAGTCTCAAGATTTTCATTATGGCCTTTGGTCACCAGTGTCCGACGATAAAAGTGATCATTACACTCAGGTAACTCGGGAACCAGCAAATATCCATATTGCTTAAGTGACTATGATCATGTGCAAAACACAGATGACTGAGAACTAAGGAAAATCATTCTACCCATCTTTCTGCAAACTTATACTAAACTCATTGAGTTCCTCTTATAATTTGCAGCACAAGGAAATGTGGTTCCCTTCATAGATGACTTGGAGAGGATGTTTCCTTCTTTACATATTTGATTTTCTGGGATTTAAAAAATCATAAACTATCAATGCCATTTATAAATTGTTTGTAAAGAATGAAAATGAGTAAAACTTATACAGAGAATCCCCGTTTTTCCATTTTATTAATATTGTGGTAAAATATTTATATATATTGTAAAAGTTGTCATTGTAGCCACTTTTAAATTATGTACCATTAGTGTCCACTGATATTAACTACATTCAAATATCACCACCACCCTTCTCCAGAACTTCTCATCTTCCCAAACTAAAACTTCATACGCATTACAGGATAATTTCCCCTTCTTCCCTTTCCCTATTCTCTGGCAACCACCAGTCTACTTTCTGTCTCTATGAATTGAATCATACAAGACTTGTCTTTTTACATCTGCCTTATTTCATTTACCATAATATCCTCAATCAATGTTCATCCATGTTGTAGCATGTGTTAGAATATTATTCTTTTGTAAGGCTGAAAAAATTCATCATATGTATGTGCCACCTGTTGTTTATCCATTCAACCACCAATGACATACTTAGGTGTTTTCTACCTTCTGACTATTGAGAATAATGTTGCTATAAACATTGGTGTACAAATATCTGTTCATATCCTGTTTCAATTATTTTGGGTAGGTACCCAGATGTAAAAAGTCTGGAACATAGGGTAATTCTATGTTTAATTATTTGAGGGACTCACAGAAGTATCTTCCACCATCTTCCACAGCAGCTGTACTGTTTTACATTCACAACAGCAAGGAAATTTCCAATTTGTTCACATCTACACTGTATGGTGCCATAGCGAGATATCACAAGCTAGGTAGATTAAACAATATAAATTTATTCGTTCACAGTTCTAGAGGCTACAAGTCGGTGAACATCTGGAGTATAGTCACTTTTTGTGAGAGCTCTCATCCTGGCTTATACATGGCCATCTTCTCACTATGTGGTTAGATGGTCTTTCTTCTGTGCATACCTGGAGATGGGGTTGAGCTGTGGCGCCTTTTCCTAGAAGGCCACTAATCCTATTATATCCTAGCCCCAGCCTTATAACCTCATTTAACTTAATTCCTTAGAGACTTCTCCAAATAGAGCCACACTGCTTGATTAAAGCTTCAGAATATGAATTTTGAGGGCACATAAACATTCAATACATAACACACACACACTTCTTATATTTGATTTTTTTTGTTAGTGCTCTTTTTATTTGTTTTGATTATACAAAATATGATAAGTGTGAAGTGGTATTTCATTGTGGTATTGATTTGCATCTCTCTAATGATTAGTGATATTGGTCACCTTTTCCTGTCCTTATCAGTCATTTGTATATCTTCTTTTAAGAATGTTTTCATTGTTGTTTTATTAGAGTCGTGCCAATTTTTCCCCCTTTGCCCTCCTCCACCCAGTGTACCCCCCACTCCTACAGTCAATCCCCACACTGTTGTCCATGTCCATGGGTCATTCATGCATATTTTTCGACTAGTCCCTTCCCCTTCCTTCTACCATGTTGTATATCTTCTTTGGAGGAATGTCTGTTCAAGTCCTTTGCTCATTATTTAATCAGATTGTTTTTCTTTGTTGTTTACTTATATAAGATATTTCCCCTTTATCAGGTATATATTTTGCAAATACAAATTTCTATTGCACAGACTGACTTTTTACTCTGACGGTAGTGTCCTATTTACTCAAAAGAGTTTTAAATTTTGATAAAGTTCAATTTATCTCTCTTTTTGTTTTGCCTTTGTTTTTGGTGTTATATCAAGAAATTGCTAAATTTCATACCATGAAGTTCTTTCCTTATGTTTCCTTCTAAAACTTTTATAGTTTCCACTCTTCTGTTTAGGCCTTTGATCTACTTCCAGTTAATTCTTTATATGGTGTAAAGTAGCATCCAACTTTATCTGTTTCCATGTAGATGTTTGTTTCCCCAACATTATTTGCAGTAAGGCTTTCTCCCCGCATTGAATGAATGGTCTTGTCACAAGGGTTGAAAATCATTTAACCATGTATGTAAGGGTTTATTTCTGAGCTCTTCATTTCATTTCAGAGGTTTATATATCTATCATTACACCAGAAACAGTTTTATTGCTGTAGCTTTGTAGCAATGTTTTGAATCTGGAAGTGTATGAGCTACAACTTTGTTCTGCTTTTACAAGATTGTCTCTTTGGGGTCCCTTGTAGTTTCATACAAACTTTAGAATGTTTTGCTTGAAAAAAACTATATTGGGATTCTGATGGAGATTGCATTAAATCTGTAGAATGCTTAGAGTAATATTAACCTGTTAAAAATATGACATCTTCCAGCCCGTGAACATTGGATATCTTTCTCATTACTTTAGTCTGACTACCAGTTATGTTTTCTGGTTCTCAGTGCACAGCTCTTCCACCTGCTTAGTTAGGTTCATTTCTACAGGGATGAGAAAAAGTAGGTCTACAGTTGTATTCTTGTGTTGTTTATTCATTAATTATTGTATTATTTATTATTATCAATCTTGCCCACCCATGTATTTTATTATATTTGATGCTATTTTAAATGGAATTATTTTCTTAATTTTTTGAGGTTGTTTATCACAAATCTATAGAAACACAATTGATTTTTGTGTGCCAATTTTGTACTCTGTAGCTTTGCTTTATTTTTACCAGTTCTAATAATTTTTGTGGTATTGTCAGTTTTATACATATAAGATTATGTAATCTATAAACAGATAATTTTACTCTCTCCTTTCCATATTGCAGTATATTTATCGTTCTTGTCTAGTTGCTCAGGATAGTATTTTCAGCACTACATTATATTTTAAACTTTAAATGTATTGAGACTTGTTTTGTAGCCTAACATATAGTCTATCCTGGAGACTTTTCCATGTTCACTTGACAGAAAGTATATTCCCTTGCTGTTGGCTGGAGTGTTTTTTTATATGTATTTTATCATTTTGGAAATTATTTTCTGCTTTTCTGTCCCTTACTTTCTCTACTACTACCTCTTTTATTTGCTTGTTGTTTTAGTGGACTTTTTGTAGTGGTACATATTGATTCCCTTCTCTTTTTCTTTTGCGTGTATACTATAGATATTATTTATTTGGTTACAACATAGGTTATACGTAATATTCTAAAATTATAATAATCTGTGTTAAACTTTTAATCAATGGTATATAAAAACTATTCATTTACAGCTCCAGCACCTTGCTTATGTAACTGTTAACAAATTATTTTCTTACACTGCACCTATTAAGATAGTTATTGTTATTTTTATGCATTTATCCCATAAATCCTGTAAAAATGAAAAATGCCACTACAAAACAAAATAATAATGATCTTCATTTTTATATTTCACCAAATATTTATGTTACTAAGGATCATTGTATTTTTCTGTCTTCAAATTACTGTCTAGTTTCTTTTTATTTCACTTGACAGATTGCTTTCAGAATTTTTGGTGGGGCAGATCTAGTGGCAATGAATTTCTTCATATTTTGTTTTGCTGAGGATATCTTAATTTCTCCCTCATTTTTGAATGGCACTTTTGCAAGATATATGCTTCTTGGTTCACTATTTTTTTTCAGAACTTTAAATATGTCACCTCATTGTCTTCTGTACTGAAAGTTTTCTACTGAGAAATCCTCTAATCATTTTGCTGGAGCTTCCTATACATGATGTGTCACTTTATTTTTTTCTACTTTCAAGGTTTTTTTTTTAATATTTAGTTTTTGACAGTTTGAATGTAATGTATGTTAGTTTTGGTTGTATTCTACTTAGAGATCTCTGAGCTTCTTGGATTTGTAGACCCATGTATTGCCATAAATTTGGGAAATATTGAACAACAATTTTTTCAAATAATCTCTCTACTACTTTTATTCTATATTATCTTTTTTGACTTCCAGAATATATATACTGGTGTACTTAATGGTGTCCCACAAAGACCCTATGATCTGTTGAGTTTTCCTCATTCCTTAATCTTTGTGCTAGTCAGGTAGATAATTTCAGATGACCTGTCTTGTAGTTGGTTGATGTTTTCTTCTGCCTGTTTAAATCTGTTACTCATCACTTTTAGTAAATTTTTGAACTTAGTTATTGCAACTCCAGAATTTCTGTTTGATTCTGTTTTTTAAATAATTTTAATTTTTATTGACATTCTCAGTTTGTTTCTATAGTGTTTCCCTGACTTAGTTTAGTTTCTTGTCTGTATGTTTTGTTTTTAGTTCTTTAAGCATATTTAAGACAGTTGTCTTAAAGTCTTTGGGTAGTAAGTCTAATGCCTGTGTATATTGAGGGATGGTTTCCATGATTTGTTGTGTTCCTTTTAATGGGACATGTTTTTCTGTTTCTTTAGATACCATGTGATTTTTTTGTTGTTGAAAATAGGGTATTTGAACAAAAACAGCAACACCTCCCAGTCTTTTCCAACTGCTAGGAAAGACCTCGATTAACTAGCAGGGCATATTTTGAGACCGGGCATGAGTCCATGCTAAAATTTAAAGGCCATTTTATGTTATTTTTCTGAGCAAGTTTCTTTCCAAAAATATGTCTCAGATTTTTCTTTTAAATTCCCCCAAATGCATAGGGGCTTTTAGATGTCTTTATTTTCCACAATTTATCATCCCACCTTCTTCTTGGCACTTTAGATGTTCTGTAGTATTTTATGACACATAGTCCCTTGCCCTGGGTGTCAGTAGGCTTGTCCTTCCTCTTCAGCTTTAATGAGCTAAACCCCCTGTTTCTCATGGCTTTTCCTAGCCTGAGATCTGAACTATGCCACAGACTATCACTTGAAGTCTAAATTAGGCAAACAGGAATATTCCTTGGGGTAGTGCATGGGAGGTTAGATCATTACAAATAAAGTCCTCCCTACTTCCTCCAGCCCAAGTAGGGAAACAGAATCTAGAGCATCTCCTTCCAATCATGTTGCAGTAAGCAGGGAAGCAGTATGTCAAGGAAGAGTAAAAAGTTATTGAAATTTTTTCTACCATTTTAACTGTGGCTTTTTCTTGATTTGGTGTTCACTTGGTTGCTCTAAATCTTTGACAGCTTTCCACAGCTTCTATAAAGCTAATTTAGCCAAACTGTAGTAGTTAGTTTTACTATATCCATGAGAAAATAAGGGTTTGGAACTTCCTAATCCATCATCTTTCTCCCATCACTCTTTTTTGCCCAGCTTTTTATTTCAAAGCATTTGAAATGCACAAAACATATTCACTAAAGGTATAATAAATACTATTCCTACTTATATTAATAAATTCTTCACATTTTGTCAAATTTGTTTATATTTCTATAAAAATACCCACTTGTTCTGAACCCTTTGAAAGTAAATTAGTGATGTCATGACACTTAATTTTTGATATATCAACATGTATTTCCTAATTACAAGGACATTGTCCTACAAAGCTGTAACATCATGGTAGATATCATCCCACCGGGAAGAGGTAGAGATAAAAATTTGAACCTGAGTTGTTCTTCCAACTCACTACTCTGCACTATGCCTACTCACTGATGCTTAAGTAAAGTTTCTCCCATGGTTTGATTTTTCTATAATCACCAAGCCACTTTCATCATGTTATCTGATTTTCCATATAGACTTGGGAGAAAGGGAGTGAGCCACCATCAATGGTGGCCACTGAGTGTGATATGTATGTGTGTTAACTAGACACATGGAAATATTGCTGTTATTGTTACTTCCTTATAAGCTGTACTCAAAGTAACCTAACAGCAAGGGTGTTTATTTTCAATCATAGATAACAGTATTCATATTATAATAATTTAGGAAAGTATAAAAGTATTAATAAAATTTTTTCTTTATATTTACAGATGATTTGGGCTTCTTCCTACCTCATTGGCTGTGGTGTGTCACCATGCTGCAAAAAAATGTCATTTCAATATCTCTATGTTTGTCACTACTGTCATGAGTATGTATCACACAGTTTGGGTTTGTGTAGCTTTTAGAAATTTATCCCCCTCCCTTATTCTAGTTTCTCAAACATAAAATAAAAATCAAATAAATATTTTATACCAGTTAAGCAGAACTTTAGAGCTAAAATGTCATTTAGCCATTATCTAAAATACTAAACACACACACACACACTTTTCTTTACAACATATTTTTCTAAATACATCTATATATCACTAATAGAATTTATAAATTGAGAATTACCAGTACTCTTTCTATGTATTATTGATATTTCAAGTAATAGTAGTTAAGGGAGACAGATTTGAAATAGCTTAAGCAAAAAAAAAAAGAAAGAAAGAAAGAAAGAAAAATGATATCCACTTCAATAATGCAGAGTACTCTTATAATGCAAGGTCAGAAATTCAGCACACTATAAAGAATAAACAGAAAAACCCAAGTGCTCTTGTATTTAACTTTTTAGTGTAACTATTGGTATATTTCTTTTCTTTAGAAATTAAATTTATGTATTCAACAGTGTTAGTATAAGTTTCTAAAAGGAATAATCTGATAGCTCCAGTGAAGGGCAGGTACTCTTTGTCCTCATGGTGTTTTACCACTGTGTCCCACATGTATAGCACAATAAAAGATGTTCAATATGAACCAATAAAAAGTATTTATCTGATCATCTGCAACCACCCTTACACTTTAAATGAGTTCTCCAAAGTCATTATAGATGCAGTTTATATACAATATTCACATAATAGCTCTATATGAGTTATTTCTAGTCTCATTATGTCTTTATTTTAGTAGCTAATATTTATTGTGATTTTAGTAATGCTGAGAAAAATAAGATCTGCTTGCATTTATGCCATATCAAAAGCATTGAATCTTTGAAGGGGTTGATGGTCTGTGATGAACTTCTGAAAATATTTTTAAAAAGTAGAATGCATGGAGTTGTGATAGAAGAATTTTCTGGGCAAAAAATTTTGACATGTTTCTGACAAAAATCCTTAATAAGTGATAAATTTCTCATATGAGGTAAAATTTTAATAATTTCAATATCAAAGAGAAAAACTGTGATTTCAGTGTTATTTCAGCCAGAACATTTACTTTATTTTTAAGTGACATTAAGTACAAATCATCCACATTGCGTTCTTAGATATCTGCAGGTAAGCCTGTTGTCTCTGCAATTTCAAACTACCTCAGAACTGGAAAGTATTACCTATGCACTCTTTCCTGCAACTCTCTACATTTAGCTATGCTGGGGTACTTTTATTTTTTATAATACATCATATGTTTCTATAAAAGACACATGTATCAAGTTTTTATGATGTAGTGTGAGATGAAATTAGAGTATCTCCATGCACTTAAAACTTTTCTTATTTTAATATGTTATTGATAATGCTATTACATTTGTACTGATTCTCCCCCTCCATCCAGCATCCTGCACTCCCTCAGACAATCCCCCCTTCACTGATTATGTCCACAGCTCATCCATATAATTTCTTTGTCCATTCCATTTCCTATACTATACCTTACATCCCCATGGCTATTCTGTAAGTACCTAATGTACTTCTTAATCCCTTCACCTCTTTACTCATTCCCACACATCCCACTCCTACTTGGCAACCCTTGAATGCCCTTCATATTTATGATTTTGTCTCTATTCTTGTTTGCTTAATTTGTTTTTTTAGATTTAACCGTTCATAGATTTGTAATTTTCACCATTTTATTTTTTGTAGTTTCTATCTTTTTCTTAAATAAGTCCCTTAACATTTCATCTAATAATGGTTTGGTGACTTCTGGAAAAGATGGAGCCATAAGTAGACATACTGCCTTCTTGCACAACCAAAGAAAGACAACAACAAATTTAAAAACAAAAAACCAACCAGAAATGACAGAAAATTGAACTGTATGGAAGTCCAACAACCAAGGAGTTAAAGAAGAAACATTCATCCAGACCACAGAAGGGGCAGAGATGCGCAGCCAAGCAGAGAGGACTTATGGCAAGGCTGCAGCTGGAGGACCCAGCAAGGCAGTGGATTGAGGACCAGGTAGTTCCACATTCATGTACAGATAAACTTGGAGGAACAACTGGGAAGTGAGACAAGCCACGCAATCCAGGGTTCCAGTGTGGAGAAATAAAACCTCAAACCTCTGATTGAAAATACCTGTTGATGTTGTGTGGTAGCAGGAAACACTCCCAGACTCACAGGAGAATTTACTGGAGAGACCCACAGGGTCCTAGAACGTAAACAAGCCCACCCACCTGGGAATCAGCACCAGAAAAGCCCAATTTGATTGTAGGTAGTGGGGAAAGTGACCAAAACCCAGCAGAGAGTGGAGCAAGTGGCATTGTTCTCTTTCAGACCCCTCCCCAACATACAGTTCTACAACTCAGCAATGTGAGTTGCCCCACCCTAATGAACACCTAAGGCTCCACCCCTTACTACATAACAGGTGTGCTGAGAAAAAAAAAATGGCCCAAATGAAAGGATCAAAACTCCAGAAAAAATACAACTAAGCAATGAAGAGATAGCCAACCTATCAGAGGCACAGTTCAAAGCAATGATAATCAGGATGCTCATGGAATTGGTTAAATATGGTAACAAATTAGAATAAAAATGAAGGCTATGCTATGTGAAATAAATGAAAATGTACAGAGAACCAATTATGATGGGAAGTAAGCTGGGGCTCAGATCAATGGCATGGATCAGAAGGAAGAAAGAAACATTCAACCAGACCACACAGTGAAGAAACAAGAATTTTAAAAAATCGAGGAGAGGCTTAGGAACCTCCAGGACATCTTTAAATGTTACAACATCTGAATCAGAGGGGTGCCACAAGGAGAAGAGGAAGAGCAAGAAATTGAAAACTTATTTGAAAAAATAATGAAGAACTTCCTCAAGATGGTAAAAGAAATAGAATTCTAGGAAATCCATGAAGCTCAGACAGTGCCAAAGAAGTTGGATCCAAGGAGGACCACTAAGGCTCATCTTAATCACATTAGCCAAGATTAAAAATAAGAAAATAGTCTTAAAAGCAGCAAGAGAAAAAGAGACAGTTACCTACAAAAAAGTTTCCATAAGACCATCAGCTGATTTCTCAAAATAAACCTTGCAGGCAAGAAGGAGCTGGAAAGAAGTATTCAAAGTCATGAAAGGCAAGGACCTGCATCCAAAATTACTCTATCCAGCAAAGCTTTCATTTAAAATGGAAGGGCAGAAAAAGTGCTTCTCAGATAAGGTCAAGTTAAAGGAGTTCATCATCACCAAGCTCTTATTATATAAAATGTTAAAGAGACTTATCTAAGCAAAAGAAGATTAAAAATATAAACAGTAAAATGACAATAAACACAGTTATTAACAACTGAACTTAAAACAAAGACAAAAGCAAACTAAGCAAACAACTAGAACAGAAACAGAATCACAAAAATGGAGATCACATGTAGGGTTAGCAGCAGGGGAGTGGGTGGGGAAAGAGGGGGAAAAGGTACAGAGTATAAGTACCATAAATTGTAGGTAGAAGATAGATAGGGGGAGGTTAAGAATAGTATAGGAAATGTAGAAGCCAAAGAACTGATATGTATGACTCATGGACATGAACTAAAGATAAGGAATGCAGGTGGGAGGGGGTATGCAGTGTAGAGGGTAATAAAGGGGGGATAGGACAACTGTAATAGTGTAATCAATAAAATATATTTTAAAAATAATGGTTTGGTGATAATGAATGTTTTTAGTTTTTCTTGTCTGGGAAGCTCTTTATCTGCTCTTCTATTCTAAATGATAGCTTTGCTCGGTAAAGTAATCTTGGCTGTAGGTCCCTGCTTTTCATAACTTTGAATATTTCTCATCAAACCCTTCTACACTGCAAAGATTATTTTGAGAAATTAGCTGACAGTCTTATAGCAACTCCCATGTAGGTAACTAACTGCTTTTCTCTCACTGCTTTCAAGATTATCTCTTTATCTTTAACCTTTGGCATTTTAATTATGATGTGTCTTAGAGTGGGTCTCTTTGCATCCATCTTGTTTGGGACTCTCTGTGCTTCCTGGATTTGCATATCTATTTCCTTCACCAAATTAATGAAGATTTCTTTCATTGTTTTTTCGAATAGATTTCCAATATTTTTCTTTTCTCTTTTTCTTCTAGTACCCCTATGATATGAATGTTGGACATCTTGAAGTTGTTCCAGAGGCTACTTGTACTATCCTCATTTGGGGGGGGGCAGGGATTCTTTTTTCTTCTTATTGTTCTGATTGGTTGTTTTTTAATTTTTTATTTTTTGCTTCCTTATGTTACAACATAGCATTGACTTGAATCTTGGCTTAATCCACTCTACTGTTGTTTCCCTGTAAATTATTCTTTTTTTCAATGAATGTATTCATTTCTGACTGGATTTGTTGTATACTGTTGAGGTTCTCACTAAGTTCCTTGAGCATCTTTATAACCAGTGTTTTGAACTCTGCATCTGATATATTATCTCTATTTCATTTAGCTTTTTTTCTGGAGTTTTGATCTATTCTTTTGCTTGGGCCATGTTTCCTTGTCTCCTTGTTTTGGCAGCTTCCCTATGTTTGTTTCTATGTATTAGGTAGAGCTGCCTTGACTCTGTATCTTGGTAGTGCTGCCTAAAGTGGTAGGTGTCCTGTAGGATTCAATGACACAGCCTCGCCTATCACCAAGCTGCGTATTTGTGGTATGAACTTTCTGTGGGCTGAGTATACCTTCTTCTTGTAGTTGAGCCTTGGTTACTGTTAGCAGATCAATGGGAGGAATTTACCTAGGCCAATTAGTAGCAAGGTTTGGCTGGGACCACTTACCACCAATCTCCACCCTCCCTGGAGGATCAGCTGTGCAGGGCTGGGTGATGGTACCCTGAAGTGGTCTGTAGCTGTCCACTAGTTGCAGTGGCCCTGGAATTTCTCAGGTGGTACAGGCCAAGATCAGCCTCCACCTGTGTTTTGCTTGGGTCCGCCCTTCCTGAGCTATAAAGCAATCTGAGATGGCTGCTACTTATGCCAGGCTTAGAGATTCCCAAGTGAAGCCAAACTATGAATCTAGGCTTTTAGTTCTAGGCTTTTGGTTGCTTTTAGTGTAGGGCCTGGGGTCTACTGAGGCCAGCTGTTGCTTGTTTGATAGGATTTAAGAAGTTGTGAAGCATGAGCCAATACCAGCTATTTATATGAAAATGCAACTTGGGTTGGCCTATAAATTGGGTGGGACAGAGTCTCTGGGGGTCTCCAAGGCAAGTCAAACAGTGTTAGCCAGGTTGATGGAGTCTCAGATATGGCTCCAGCTTGCCATCTCAGCCTTGATGGATGTGGTTTCATTAATTCTGAAGTTGTCAGACTTTCATTTAATTTGATTTCGTATGGTTCTAAATGATGGCTATTCTATATTTTAGTCATAATTTTGATGTGGTTGTGAGAAGAGGTGAGCCATATCTTCCTATCCTGCCATCTTGACCCAGAACTTTTGTTAGCATTGTTAAGAACATGTAATTTTTCACGACTGTTCATCAAGTTCTTATGGGTATAAAGAAAAGTTTCCTGTTATAAATGGTTCTCAAGCTGCATGCTACTTAGGACTTGACTGTATAAAGAGATACAAACTGCCTCAAAGTATTCTTAGGACACCACATTTGCCAGTTGTACATTTAAAGAGATAAATTATTCTCATTGTAATTCTAGAAATATTAAGCCCATCTTAAAGATTATCATTATATACAAATGGTTTTCAAAAATTGTATTTAAAATTAATTGTAAATAGTGAGTATATTTTATATGTCTTTTTCAAACATCAATTTTACTAGACCACTTTTTTTTTTTAAGGGGAAATGAACCTGAAAGAAAGAGTCTACCTTATAATCTGGGAAGTCCATGTGAAGCCTGTCCCAGTAACTGTGACAATGGCCTTTGTAGTAAGTTTTACATGCTAGTTTGCTTAATGTTGACTGTTGACTCAGGTGTCATGAGTCCTTTAAATCAAGCATTTAATAACATTGCGCTTTCCTATAACTATTATTTCAATCGTTTAACAGGAAAGATCAACATTATTTGATTTCCACTTCTACCACGAGTGACCTAGACCATTGATTAAATCTATTAGAATGGGAATTAGAATGTGTAGGTCTAAATCAAGTGACCACCCTAAATTTTAAAGACCCTAACAGGGGCAACCTAGATAAAATATTAACATAAGTATAAATTTTTCTATGTGTGACAAAAGATTTCTGGGCTCTCTCACTCTAGCTCTTAAATTAGACATAGTGCTTTCAAGTTACCAGTGTTCTCACATTTCTTGCTGCTCTATGATTTCCCTACCCACTTGACCTTGTTATGGCATGTAGGTGTAAAACTTTTTAAGTGCAGATGGTATTATATTGTGTATAGAAAATTTTAAAAACAGTACCAAAATTGCCAAAATTCATAATTGAATTCAATAAATTTTCAGGATACAAAATCAATATACGAAAATTAGTTCTGTTTACATACACAATAATAAACTATCAGAAAAATATATTAAAAAGCAATCCTAGTTATAATTATGTCAAAAATAAAAAATACCTAAGAATAAATATAACTAAGAATGTAAAAAATCTATACACTGTAAAGTATTATACATTGATGAGGAAATTGAAGAAGATATAAACAAATGGAAATATATTACATACTCATGGATTGTAAGAATTAATATTGTTAAAATGTACATTTTATCCAAAGTTATTTACATACTGAATACAATCCTTATCAAAATTCAATTGGCATTTTTTCATAGAAATAGACCTATTAATCAGAAAATTTGCATAAAACCACAAAGGACCTCAAGTGGTCAAAACAACCGTGAGAAAAAAGAATAAAGCTGAAGGTATCAGTCGTGATTTCAAACTATAATACAAACTTCGGTCATCAGAGCAGTATGGTATTGACATAAAAACAGAAACATAGATCAATGGGACAGAAGATAAAGGCCAGGAATAGACCAATGCATATGCAGTCAACTAATTTACAACAAAGGAGCCAAGTAGTCTGAAGAGACTATACAGGGGAAAGGATAGTCTCCTCAATATATGGTGGTGGAAAAACTAGACAGCCTCGTGAAAAAGAATGAAATAGTACCATTATCTTACACCATATACAAAATTAACTCATTGTAGATTAAAAACTTGAACATGAAAGCTGAAGCTGAAGCCATAAAATTCATAAAATAAAACATGAGGGAAATCTCCTTTACATCAGTCTTGGGAATGAGTTTTAAAATTTAATACCAAAAGCAAAGGCAACAAAAGCAAGAGTATGTGGAGGGGAATGAAGGGGGGAATAGAACAACTGTAACAGCATAATCAATAAAAAAAATAAATTAAAAAAAAAGCAAGAGTAAACATGTAGTACTACATCAAACTAAAAAGCTTCTGCATCTCAAAGAAAGCTATCAGAATGAAAAAGAAACTTAGAAATCAGAGAAAATGTTGGCAAATCATATATCTGAATTAGGGTCAATATCCAAAATATGTAAAGAACTCATATGACTCAACAGCAAAAATCCCAAACAATCCAATTTATAAATGGGCAGAAGAACTAAATAGACACCTTTACAAAGAAGATAGTGACTACCTTAACCCTCTGACCCTCTTTCCTATTGGGCACATAAAAGACACTCATCATCACTAATCATCAGAGAAATGCAAATCAAAACCACAACGAGTTTTTCCCTCACACCTGTTAGAATGACTATTATGGAAAAGACAAGAGATAACAAGTGAGGGCAAAATGGAGAAGAGCGAACCCCTTGTACTCTGTTAATGAGAATGTAAACTGGTGCAGTCACTATGGCAAATGGTATGAAACTTCCTCAAAAAATTAAAAATGGAACTGTGACATGATCCAGCAACTCTACTCTTATTTATTTATCCAAAGAAACTGAAAACACTAGCTCAAAAAGATATCTGCACCCTCGTGTTTATTGTTATTACCAATAGCGAGGTCATGGAAACGACAACCAGTCTATTGACAGATAAATGGATTAAGACAACTTGTATATATATATATATATATATATATATATATATATATATATATTTATATAGTAAATATATATAAATATATATGTATATATTTATATAGTATGTATATAGTGTTCATATATGTATATATAATTATTGTGTTGTACACCTTAAACTAATACAATGTTATATAGCAGTTATAGCTCAATAAAACTAAGGAGAATAAAGAATAAAAGAAAAATATTAATGAAAACACCTCAGACAAGTCAAAGAAAAAACATGTTACATAAAAAAATTTATCACATTATATTTTTCTAAAATATTACATAGCAGAAGACAATAGGATAATGATAGATAACTTATGTAAATAAATATTGATGTATATATATGCCTGTTTGTAGAATAAAACCCACTGCATTTTTATTTAAGAAAATTCTCTGGGTAAAGAGATTATTTGAAAAATGTGGGTATTCTATATGTGGATTTTATGTAATTTTTAATTGGCTACATATTAATTTTTTCATTAAAAAACAATGCTAGATGACTTTCACTTTCTGATTTCAAAACTCACTGCAAAACTACAGTAATCAGTGTTGTAGTGGTTTAAGACAGATATGTGCCCACGAAACTAGAATAGCGAGCCCAGAAATAAACCCTAGCATTTATGGGTGTATATTAATTTTAATAATCCAGAGCATTGCCTCACCCATCAAATGACACAGCATCAAATAAACAGACTACAATGAATAAGTAAAACTTTTAGCACTTTACTATATATAGAGTACAATGTTGATGGTTTCAAAATGATATTCTAATTGATAAAGATGATTCATCTCTAATCTGCTTAGATATGTCCTACCAAAAAGAATTGTGATGAAGGAAATCTGTTTAGTTGCAAACCATAATTTCATATTCCTTTTTTTTGTTTGATTATTTTTCGACTACAATATTCTGTCTTTTACTCCCATCCCAGCCCACCCCCCGTGCCCCCCACCTCCCTCCCATTTCCACCCCCCTTAGTTGTTGTCCATGTGTCCTTTATACTAGTTCCTGTAAATCCTTCCCTACCCTCTCCCCTCTGGTCATTGTTTAAAATAACAGACTTCTTACCTGTTTTCCATTCTAATTTTGTTAGCTCATGATAATAAAAAGTATTAGTTATTAATAAATTTATGTTTATATCTTTAAGGAGATGATCTTTTTCCCCAGCTAATGTGATATTTTTAATGTGTGTAACCATGTTTTTCCTTCCAGCTAATCCCTGCATCTACTATGATGAGTACACTAACTGTGGAATGCTAAAACTTAGGTACGGATGCAACCACCAGTCAGTTAAACTGCTGTGTAAAGCCAGTTGTCTTTGTACCACAGAGATAACATAACCTTTGTGTGATTTCAACTAGAATGTAATGCTGAGGAAATGTCCAGTGGATTGTATCTTTTCCCTTAATTTGCCTCAGTAGCTTCTGCTGAATTTCACTTGGTTTTAATTATACTTGAGATCCCAATTTTTCACTAATCATATATGGGCATCAGATATTTACATCCATTCCACCCACTCCTGTCTTGGTATATCCTGAAGTGATGTTGTTTTAAATTTTCTTACTCCTGCAGTGAAAGGTCTAGTTCAACACCTGCTTCATATTTAAGCTTTGTGATTTAGAGTTCTTAGGTTGACATTATTCAGCTGAGGCACAACTGGGCCCCTCTTGTTCTCTTTAACTCCTTCCCCTGCTTTCTTACATCCCCCGCAAGCCTGGTGTTTGTCTTCCTTGTATAACTTACATAAACTAAACATTCTTCACTTCTTTACTTTTATCTTGAATCAATCATTAAAATAATCTACAGAGCAAACAAAGGATCCAGTATCATTCATTGCAAGGTAAATACTGCTTATCTGCAAGTGGTTTTAAGTGTCTTATTGTTTCTTGCTATATCTATACACATTTGTAAAGAAGGGGGAAGAAAACTTGTGTGTCTTTAGTTTAACAATATATGGAATCAGCACTGATTACTCACAAGCCTTAATTCATAAATTATAGAGGATATTGTCTCATTCATTTCAAATAAAGATGTAAGTATCAGTAAACCTGAACATTAAACAAATTGGTGAAGTGTACGACTACATGGCTGCCTATTGAGCCTGGTACCTGGTATTTGTCTTCAGTTTCAAGATTTTTTTCATAAATGTGCTCTCTAGTCATAACACATATAGAAAGAGGCAGTAGAGAGCAAATTTCACTTCAAGGATGACAATTGTCTGTGGGACCCCAAATAAGCTTCCTTTGCTAAATATCTACAAGAAAATGTGACACAAATTATAGTGTAACTTTTAAAAAATGCTTCCCGGCATTACCCCCATGAGCACAGTTTACCAGGAAGGTTTGTGATCACAGCAACACACTACTTACAGAATTAAATCTCATGATATGTTCCAGGTCACTGTCAGGGAAGAAGGTCATAATTGGACCCAGGAATCCAAAAGCATTGTTCCACTAAAAACAGGTGTGTTTGTGTGCTTGCGTGCATGTGTACATGTTCTAATGGATGTCTAGAAGATCTATGAAGCAAAGAGCATCATTGAGGACAAAATCCTCATTAGCTTGTTGCGTTCACAGCGGAGAGTGAATGGGCACAAAAATGGATCCAGATTATGGGGAAACTTGAAGGAAAGGCAAACTGAATGATTTGGATTTGAAGCCACTGCTAGTTTTTATGTAAAAGAGCTTTACATCCATGCTGTCTTGAAGAGTAGGAGTGCCTTCTTTCTTTCTGCTGTGTGGTATTCCATTGTGTAAATGTACCATAGTTTCTTGATTCTTTCATTTACTGATTGGCATTTAAGTTGCTTCCAGCACTTGGCTATTGTAAATTGTGCTGCTATGAACATTGGGGCACACAGGTTCTTCTGAATTAGTGTTTTAGGATTCTTCAAGTGTAATCCCAACAGTGGACTTACCAGGTCAAAAGGCAGCTTCATTTTTGGTGGAGGGAAAATGGAGACAACTGTACTTGAGCAACAATAAAAGAACAAAATAATAAAAATAAAAAAAACTTCACACACACACACACACACACACACAATTTCTACACAAATTTATACAAAGGCAAGTACAGTAGAATGATCCCGGATGTGCAGACTGATAACTGGCCTAAATCATGGGTCATTGTGGGTTTTCAAAATGTGCTCAAGTCTTAAGCAGTTAGAGCAACATTGTCACGGTTTGTTTTCCATAACATGCAAGGAGGGCACAGCTAAGGCTACAGAAATCCAAAGACATTTCTGGGATCATATACCATGAGTCACTGAATAATAGGGGACATGGTATTTCTCCTACTTAGATCTTCCTGTAATGCTCAAATCTTTTTATGGGAAGGAAAGAGATGAAGAAGCATAGAAATTTCACTAGGGTGAATCCTATCACCTCGCATAGATATGAAATAGAAGGTTTATCAAATGTATGTTCTTACAACATCCAAGCTAGGGAAGCAACCCAAGTGTCATCAATAGACAAGCACATAAAAAAGCTGTGGTACATTTACAAAATGAAATATGTGACCATGAAAAAAAAAAGAATGAAATCTTACCATCTGCGACAGCATGGATGGATGCTCAGCGAAAATAAGTCAGTCAGAGAAAGACAAATGCCACATGATTTCACTTATATGTGGAATTTAAAGAACCAAATAAATAAACAAAATTGAAAAAGTCATAGATAACAAAGAGAGAAGTGGTGGTTGTGAGAGGGAAGGGGGACTCAGGGTGCGGGAAAAGATGAAAGGACTGACAGGCACAAATTGAGTGTTACAAAAGAGTCACAGGAAATACAGTCAATAAGTAGGGTTTTGGAAACATTGAGAGAACACTACGTAAAGTATATGACTGTCTATCCAGTAAGCTGTATAATCAAAGCCAGTGCATAATTAAAAATTCATATCCATAAGAATTTTTAAGTGTGTTCTTTAAATAAAGCTCAACTGTCTCTGAGAAGCATGACAAATATTTTACTACTGCAAATTTCAACTGCATTTAGGTTTCTGGCTTCAGGTTGTGGTAGAAATCATTATCTCCGTAGGAACTGCCCTCAAGTATTTGCAAAATGTATAGCAAACATTAAGTTATGCATATGATATTATTTAAACTATATGACATCCTTCTGAGGTGGAAATTATTATCACAAGTCTACATGTGAGTGTTACAGGAGAAAATAGATTTGGGGGCAGTGTCAAGGGAGAAGAATTTCAGCAACACACATGTAGGAGAAGTTTTAAGTGATAGTAACATGATTTGTTAGAGTGAAAAGTGACAGTATACTCTTGGAGAGACAGACAGCAGGCAAACTACAGGGCAGGGCCTGCATGGACTCAGGAAAGAAAGTTCCCAAGGCAAAGGAAAGTCCTCTGCTGCTGCTGCTTACTGCTCCCCTGGATGCAAGTCACGTGAGGACCTTTAGCCTTTAGAAGAAAAAAAGGCAAAAGTACAAGCCCAAGAGAAGAAGGGCTCACACTGGATTCTTTGTCCAAGTTCCATATATTTCCTTGGGTTTGAGAAAGAGCAGGCTTTCTTTCAAACTACCTAATCTCTTTCCTAGCTTTTCCCCAGGCCTGTACTGGTGCACTCCCCCTAGCCAATCTCTGTCCTGGATTCTCCAGGGCTGTGCCCTTCCCCAATTCCATGTTTTCCCCAGGCTTTGTCCTCCCCCTATTATAGTTGTCATTTTGGCTTCTACTGTGCATGCACCCAGTAGAAAGAAATCCCCCTGGCCATTTCGATTGACCCAGCAGGTAACAATTCTGGTTACCTCCCTACCTCCATCCCTTGTATGGCTATAAAATTATTTTCATTGCCTAGTGGAAAAAGCAGGATGTTTTGCTCCATTTGGGGGAATGATACCCATTATTCCTGTTCCATTGGCTCTCTCCCTTTTTGGCTAATACCTAACTACTAACTGCTTACTGTAACATGAGGACACTGAGTTTTCAAATTTTTTCATGACTTCCTTTGGATCACACAACTAGAAAGATATAGAGATCTTTCCATAAGGGTATTTTCTTCCAAACTTCAGATGGAATTAAAGAGTGTACCACCAGGTACAGCAATAAAAGAAGCTAATAAGAGGTTTTAGACTCTCATCTAAAAAATAGAGACATCAAACTTAGATTTTGAAAACTTTCTCTTTCTCATTCATTCCATTTATTTTACAAACAGGACTGTGTGGTTATTAAAAGAAACAGCACATTGAGCTATTTATGGTGAGTTTATTGTGAATATTATTTTCTTCAAAAATTGGACATCCTGCTGTGATATTGTATTTACAATGAGAAATATATATATTTGTCTTTGTGCCCTTCTTGGCACAGAGCTCCTAAAACCCTTGGAATTTCCTAAGAGATGCTAGTGATAGAGAGCATATGTTAATAAGGCAATTATTTTGTTATGTTTTTAGGGCAATTTTTGGAAGGCAGTTAAGGATGGGGGCTGGTTACCTGGGAACAAAACCATGTGATTAGAGGGTTGGAACTTTCACTCCCATCCCTTGACTTCTGGGGAGGGAGGAGGGCTATAGGTTAATTTCATGAATCTTGACTATGTAAGGACGCCTCCTTAAAAGCCCAAAGGACTGGGTTTGGAGAGCTCGTAGGATGATGAGCAAATGGAGACTTGGGGAGAGTGGAGTACTCAGAGGGGGCATATATGCTCTGCTCCCTTTTCTGATACATTGCCCTAGGCATCCCTTCCATCTGGCTGTTTCTGAGTCATATATCCTTTTATAAGAACTGGTAATCTGCTAAGTAAAATGTTTCTCTGATTTCTGTGAGCCACTCTAGCAAATTAATAAAACCCAAGGAGGGGATTGTTGGAATCTCTGATCTAGTCTGACTGTGTCTGTAGTGGGAGTGGGGATGATCTTACAGGACTGAACTGGGTAACCGTGGTATCTGGAACCGTTTCCTGGTAGATAGTGTCAGAATTGAGTTGAACTGCAAGACACTGAGCTGGTATCAGAGAATTACTTGGTAGTGTTGGGGCAAAACCCCTCACCCACCGCACTGGAATTGGCTGTAGAACCTTTATGTGCTAAATGTGCTTGCAAACCATACACAGGGATGCTCAGCTTCTATACTGTATGAAGATTGCAGGCCTATTAAGAGGAAACACCCATAGTATGTGATCACTTGAAAACCAAGCTGTTCTCTCCTTCACAATTGTTTTCAGAAATTTGTTATACACTGAAGCTCAACAGCAATTTTATGGATGGTACTATTAGTTTAATCTGGACAGAGCCTGTGGGCAAAGACAATCTCAAAAGTGATAGGATGCCACTGAGAATATGCAATGGATTTCTTCCTTACTGATGAAGCCAAGGCAATTCTTTCAGCAAACAATACAGAATAACTGTTTTATAGGCAAACCGCACTGTTGTAACTCTATACAGATAATTTTGAACTTTTGAAAACATGGACATTGTTTAGCAACTTTATAATATCAACTGTATAACGCTGATTATATAACTACTTATCTTCTAGATTTTCTTCTTCACTAATTGGTGTCATCCATTCACGAGAAATGACTTAACTCTTTCACATAAAAATGTTATACAACATGGGCTCATAAAAATTTCTGTATTTCCAGCCTCATTTTATCCTTAATTTTTCCCCTGCAGAATTTTTTAATTAAATTATTTGGAAAAATAATTTAGGTGAGCTAAAGATCTATTATTATCCACTTAGATAAGCCAATTTATCCAATATAATTTACTATATAAAATGTATTTTTCCATTTGCCATTTTTTGCTTTGTATAATGTGCAGTTTTTTACCCACATTTTTCAAGGAAAAATAAGGATGTGCAATATATATGGGTAGTACCTGAAATACCTCATATCCGTTCTTGTGTTTTGTAATCAT